TTCCCAAAGGCGCGGGATTACAGGCTGAGCCACCGAGCCTGGCTTATTGAGGGTTTTAAGCAGAAGAGTGAGTCCCATAATCTCATTTGTATCTTACAAAATTTTCAGAAGTGCAGAGCATTGGAATTTACAATAGAAAACAGATGTAATTTCTGCGTTATTGCCTAATGGGACCTCTCTCTCTCTATCTATCTATCTGGCTGGAGGGCAGGGACACAATCACAACTCACTGCAACCTCAACCTTCTGTGCTCAAGTTGGAGGGCAGAGGCACAATCAAGGCTCATCACAGCCTCAAGCTCTGGGCTCCAATGATCCTTCCGCTTGAGCCTCCTGAGTAGCTAGGACTACAGGAGTGCACCACCATGCTCGGCTAACTTTTCTATTTTTTGTAGAAAAGACTGGTCTTGAACTCCTGGGCTCAAAAAATCCTCTTGCTTCGGCCTCCGAAAGTGCTAGGATTATAGGCATGAGCCACCACCTCTCGGCCTGGAGACACTTTATACTCCTTATTTTAGGGAGCTGTAATACCAATGTGGTTAACTGATTAGTTAGAATTGGAGACAAGTGCTTTGAGGTAAGGAACTTACTTCAGGGTTTTGTGACTACATATGCCAACGGTAGCAACTGGGATGGGAAGAGGGAGAGGGCAGGAGCAGGAACAGCTCCCCGGAGGGATCACCTTTATGCTAAGATCTGAAGAATGCGTAGCAGTTGAGTAGGCCAGGGACACAGAAAGAATACTTCAGAGAGAAGTCCTGGAATAGTAACCAACATAGAGGCCTTTGAAAATCTAAAAAATAGCCAGTCTAGCTAAACAGTAGACAGTCAGGCTTAACAGGCAATTAAAGAGAGATCAGGGAGAAGGTCACCTAGGGTCTCACGTTGGCTTTTATCCTAAAAGTAATTGGAAGCCAATGAAATGGGAGATGAACATTGCCTGTAAGATGAACAGATTTACAGTTTTAAAGATCAATGGCGAGCCGGGCTCAGTGGCTCAGCCTGTAATTCCGCGCCTTCGGGAGGCTGAGGTGAGTGGATTGCCTGAGTCCGC